CCTGCTACTGCATTACAAATACAATCTTACTCATCTTGATGGGAGAAAGCTATGCCAGAACATCCTGCACCTTGTCCCTTAACCAAAGATGCTTAAATATCTTGGGCTGCTGCTCAGTAGACTACTGAAGAGCTGTAGTCTTGTCAGGGACCGCGGCTCCGTCCTCTCGCGCATGCGCAGTGGCGGCGGATCGCGCCGGGACACGGGCACTAGGTCCAGGCGAGCCGCGGCTGACAGGACGCCGCGCATGCGCAGTAGGAGCCGCGGGCGCGCCTCAGGCGTCCAATGACAGCCGGGGGTGCGTCCTAGCCGGCCAATGACAGTGCAGGGCGCACTATTTAAAGATGCCCTGCACTGTCACAGATTGCCGCAAGGTCTTCTGTGATCCTGAGTTCCTGCACCTATCCTGTGACCCTGATTGACCCTGACTATTCTGCCTGCTCCTGCGTTTGACCCGGATTGTCCTGACTACTCTGCCTGCTCCTGCGTTTGACCCGGATTGTCCTGACTATTCTGCCTGCTCCTGCGTTTGACCCGGATTGCCCTGACCATTCTACGGATTGACTTCCCTGCTGACCCTGCGTGTGACCCGACTACTCTCGCCTACCGATTCTGTACCCCGCTTACCCTCACGGGCCACGATCCGTTACTACCCTGCTGGGGCCGCCATCCTCTTCATATCTGGCTCTCCCGGTACCTGTCCCCAAGGGTCTCCTCAGCCACTGGCGGGCCTGCTCGGAGGTCGTGACCTGGCCCGGGACTGTTTTTTTCAAGTCCATCCCCACCATCAGAAGCTCTGGTGAAAGCACAGCCCGGGCTTAGACCCCACGCTCTGAGTAGGTCTGTCAGTTGGCAGCCTGAGGCACCACCTGGCGGATCATAACAAGTCTTGACCCCAGAAGGGACAATTCAGCAGGTGAGAATCCAGATACAGTTTAATAAGGATCCCTTGGGACAAACAACAAATGAGCTAAATAGAATAGTCTCTATCCTGAGAGGGACCGGATAAATATTCTGAAGGTATGGTGTGGTGGAACTTGTATTCTTTGTTATGCATTTTTAGCACCTTTCACATGGAATACATATGCATTCCATGTGAAAGGTGCTAAAAATGCATAATGAAGAATAAAAGTTCCACCACACCATACCTTCTGAATAGCCTCTATAAGGGTGGTAATCAAAGAAGATGGGGAAGTAACTGAGCCCTTCCACAGTTCATTGCCCAATACAATATTCAGGAGAGGATCTGAACTTTCAGGGCTACTCTTGAGGGCAGCAATTAGCATTTCCAACTGTCATACACATTCACGTACAGATATTTTGCAAGTGCGTTTATTAATAGTAATACCATGGGAGGTTCTCTTGTAATATCAGTGATAAAAAAATGACCTATACACAAATGCAATTAGCATGTATGAGCTGAAATGTGATGTTAGTTTGACTGGTTTGCTGCACAGCGCATTTGATATTTTTCCAGCGATTATGTGGTGCTGACATATTTTGCACACATTACAAAATACACAATCCATTCACATCAGTTTTCTGCCATGGAAGAACCTTACAGCCATAAGACCCTAGCAGTGACATATGATCTTATCACATACAAACACACATTCTCTGATGCCACTTACCAGTATATATTTGCAAATATGCCAAGAGCAGAAAAGAAAAAATAGAGAGAAAGAAAAGAATGAAGAGAAAAAACTCCTCAAATGAAAAGAAAAATACTGGGATTTTTAAGGTGCCAAAAAATATATATACAACAATGAAAGCTAAAATGTTCCAATATTTATTATCAAATCACGTTAAAAAAAAAATCCAAATCCAAGACATGAAATCACTGAGTGATCTTATGGAACTATGGGAGGAGGGGAATGATGCTACCAATGAGCAGGACTCAGATGTTTTACCCTCTGCCCCCCCCCCCACTGTGTTATAAACCCAAGTCCTGCTCCTTTCCTTTATTACAAGCTAATCCTAACATTTGGGCCTGTGTAGAGGTATTTGGGATACTTCTTGGGGAGAAATGTCTACATCTAATTGAATACCTTTTCAGCAACGAGCCTTAATCTCTCTCAAACAATGATTGATTTGTCATCAAGCCCTCAGACAAGGGGGGAATATTGTAGTGATGGATTTTGACCAATATGAACATATGGTAATGAATATTTTGAGTAACCGAGCATAGTATAAACCAATACCCTCTAATCGAGTAATTTCTACGGTTATTGAATATAGAACCATCATCAATGGAGCCTACCGTCAGGGCATTATAGATAAGAATACACTTACATTTTTTAAGTGTCAAGAATCCCAAAACTCCCACCTTATATGCATTACCCAAATTTCACGTTCAAAACGTTCAAAACGTTCAAACACCTCCAGGCCGCCCAATAGTATCTGGCAGAGGTTGCCTTACAGGGAAGGCTAGTCAATTGATTGATGAGCATTTGCATCCACATGTTATCTCCTTAACGTCTTATGTTAAGGACACGATTGACCTGTTAAAAACCATAGATAATATGCATGTCCCAGAAGGATCATGGCTGGTTGCCGTAGATTTAGATATTAACTGTTTTAGTAGTGATTATTGATTTGATTATTAATTAGTATACCAGTCCTGATTTAAATTTGTTCATTATTTATTATCTTTTAAATTTAAATCTGATGCAATGTATTTGATATGTACAGGGGGAATTTATAATGCCCATAAAGTTCATTGTCAATTCATCTATTTTATCTATGTCATCTTGAAAATATCCACAAGATGGCAGTCAGGAGTTGAATTATCTAACCAATAGTTTAAGGAGTGGCCTTATATAAGGCCACCCATTCTCACTTATGGCCACACCCTCAAAGGAAGTCGGAATGACGAAACGCGTCAGCTCGTGACCATCTGTGACGTCAGCGCACATGTCGGGACCATGTGGTGAGAACACGCGATCGCTGTTGTGAGATCATACAGTTACCAGTATGCGGTAAGACCATCACTAGCTGCAGTGAGCGGCGGCCATTTTATTGGAAGGTTTACCTACAATGTGCATTACCTTTTTACTCAGTGTTAGTTTTTCTTAAGGGGGCTGTTTTATGGCAATAAATGTGTTTTACGGTATCACACTTTGTGGCAGTTTTATTTTGCCCATATATAGAATTGATACCATCCACTCTGGATGAGGAGGAGATCGGAGCATGAAAAAAGACCGGAAACCCCTATTAGCAGACATATAGGCCTGTATCACAAAAGGTCTGGATCTTTCAAAAATACACCTTTTTGCTTTGGAGCACATCTCCATCCATGGGAGAGGTGGGGGTGTAGACCACCTTTTATTGTAGTACGAAACTAAGTGGATTTTCACCCTGCAAGCTACCAAATTTCTAGGTTTAAATTGCTATCAGTTTCAAGCCTTTTTAGTAGTATGATCCTGAGTCTAGCCATCGATTACTGTTTCTATGTATTTATTTTAAATAAATGAGGGTAAATACTACTTGTTTCATAAAGCGTATATAACTTTTTGGAGGGCACCTTGTTCTAATTCAATTACCTTATATCAAACATAATCAGTGTCTTATTATTTCTTAATCCCTTTTTAGCCTGGACGTGTGGTGCACGGATGGTTTATGGGAGGTTTCTTCCATCCTTTATTTTCAACATCAAATGTATTGGTATTTATTAGCACTGCAATTCATCATATAGCATTTATTCTTTAGACGGTGTTGCTATTATATTATGATTCTTAGTGGATATAAGCCAATGTTTGGCAATTATTGTGTTTGTGGTTGATTTTCCTTTTATGTAGTTAGGCAGCGCTGTGTTTGTTCCATCCTTGATTGAGGTGGTCTGTTCTTGCAGTGCAGCCATGTAGGTTGGCGTTGTTGTGGGCAGAAGTGACACCATACATGTGTGCTGCGTTGCAACGTCATTGACGCCGATCAGCGATGGGAGTGGCCCATATATAAAAGGAGTTCAAATGGCTCCTAGGCTTCGCTGGTTGATAGGGAGGTGGAGTTGTGGCGTTGGTACTTTCTTGGTGAAACGTTTTTCTTTGATTTATTTTGAAGCTCGGGGGTATACAAATTCATTCATTTGACTACTAGGAATAACATTTGTTTCCCTTTGTAATATATCTTATATTTTATTCTAGTGTCCAATTAGGACCAAGAAGACTTTTTGTTTTCTCCGATGTAACACTATCAAACATGATGTTAATTGCTGTATACTGAGTGCTCAACTAGTGGTGGGTATGTCATCCTTTTCATAGGTATATTGGGGATTTAAGCTTTCTGAGCATTTGTTTGCAAACTGTTTTTTGCTCTTATGTTTAGCTTGATTGTGCCCCTCCACTAGTTGTCTGAGGCACCAGCCTGTCCGGGCTTATTTGAGGATTTTTTGCCCTACTTAATTGTACTACAATCAATCTTTCTTTATACTACTTGTCTATTTGAGCCAGTATGAACAATTTCATGAGTTGCCCTCCATTAACTCTCAATCTTTGAAATGTCTGTACAATGAAATTTGTATTGCTTCTTGTTTTTGAGTTATGTATTGCAGGTATTTAACCTTATTATATTGTATAACTATCAATCCACTATTATAGGTGTCATATTTAATATCTCCTGAAGAAGCCTGAAAAGGCGAAACATGTTGAGAGAAATATTGCACCGGATATATTTTTGAACACGTATCATCATGAATTTTGATATATCTCAAAGTATTTTTTAACCACTAGCCTACAGGGCACTTATACCCCTTTCCTGCCTAGGCCAATTTCCAGCTTTCAGCGCTGTCACACTTTGAATGACAATTGCGCGGTCATGCAACACTGTACCCATATGAAATTTTTATAATTTTTTTGAGACAGATAGAGCTTTCTTTTGGTGGTATTTAATCACCTCTGGGATTTTTATTTTTTCTTAAACAAACCAAAAAACTGAAAATTTAAAAAAAAAACAAGTTTCTTAGTTTTTGGTATACAATTTTGTAAATAAGTGATTTTTCTCCTTCACTGATGTGCGCTAATGAGGCTGCAGTGATGGGCACTGACAGACACTGATACGTGGCACTGATGAGGAGGCACTGGTAGGTTGCACTGATGGACATTGACAGGCATCGCTGATGGGCACTGAAAGGCAGCACTGATACATGACACTGATAGGCGGCACTGACCGGCACGGTTAGGCGGCACTGATAGGCATTTATAGGTGACACTGACTGGCACTGATGGGTGACATTGAAAGGCAGCTCAGATGGGCACTGATATGTGGCATTGATGTGTACTGGTATGCACTGATATGTGGCACTGATGGGCACAGGCACTGGCACTGATGAGCACTGACGGACACTGACAGGTGGCACTGCTGGGGCTACACTGATCATCAGGTCACACTGATCATCAGGGCCCTGATGATAAGTGTACATGTCCCCTCCGCGGAAAGCCGATTACCGGCTCTCCTCACCTCTCGAGCTGTCAGCGTGACAGCTCGAGAGGAGAGAAATGCAGAGAACCGGCATTTCCGTGTTTACATGTGATCAGCTGTGATTGGACACAGCTGATCACATGACCGAGCCGACATCTTCGGCTCTTTCCGTGATCTGCTGTGTCCGCCACGCTGCGTGCTCCCTGGTGAGAATGGAAGGACGTCATATGACGTCCTATCAGAACGAGAGAACCACCTTGCGCCCGTCATTGTACTATATGGCGGGCGGAAGGTGGTTAAAGTGATTTGATAATAAATATTTTAACATTTTAGCTTTCATTGTTGTATTTTATATATATATATATATATATATATTCTTTTTTTTTTTTTGGGCACCTTAAAAATCCCAGTATTTTTCTTTTCATGTGAGGAGTTTTTTTTCTCCTCATTATTTTCTCTCTATTATTTCTTTTATTCTCTTGGCATATTTTCTAATTTAGGGATGTGGTGTCGTACTCCCTTCTGAACACAATTCTTGTTCTCCAGTATATATTTGTGTTGTAGGGAAAAACCATCTCAACAACACCCTGAAAAACTATGCATATAAAATGCCTCTGTTGAGAACTAAACCAATATCCCCAGACCTTAAAAGCAAGCTTACTTCAACACATTTTAATGGCTGTCAAAAAAGGCTTCCCCAATTGAGAGCAATGATGTAGGAACCTGTGTAAACGACTCCAGATGGGTGCATTAATGTGTTACTAATTCCATGACCCTGCATTCACTATATCTGGTCTGCCACAGTACACGGAACATGAAAACGCAAATATTTTAGTAAATATTAACTGCTAAATACTTTTTCTCATCAGCAATTACAGCAGTCTTGTGACTTTTATCATTATCCAGCAGAGAACTGGTTAAAGCCTGTAGGAGTAGTTTTCAATCTCCCCTGATTGTCCTATGAGGCTGCAGCACCCCAGACCCTCTGTCTGGACAGCTCTGATTGGCCCTGTGCTGAACACATGCACCCTCCCCAGAAGAAAAAAAAACTCTTAACAATACACACCAAACTGAGCATGTGCAGCTTGCCCCCAAGACTGTGCTCTATCAGCAAATGGATTGAAGACAGTAGAAGGGGAGGATCAGAGAAGCCAAGATCACACATCCTTTTTACACAATGCAGAGGATTAACCCCTTAGGTTCCATAGTGAGTATATCAAGCATGCTTCACTACATATACAGACGGATTTTACGGTTGTGGGTTTAGTAACACTTTAAGGGCTCGTGTGTACATGCTCAAAAGATAATATTAATGACAATGAAAGGAAGCTGATCAACTTACTTGTATTTCCTTTAGGTCCTTGTCACACAGATTCTGAAGGGGATCAAGAAAATTCTGTTTGACTTCTATGTCCAAAGAATCTTTTACTTCTGCTAATCTCTTCATGGACTCCCCAGCATCCAGCAATGCATCACCTTAATAGAAAATTATAATTTAAAAGGCAGGCATTCCTTCTGTGTATCAAGTAAATTTTTAAAGACAGTAAAAAGCACGGGGTTTTTTTTGTAAATGCAGTGCTAAGATGAAAAACAAAAATTTCAGTGTTACAAGGAAACCTACAGAACTTTTAACAAAAAATACACTTTTTGTATTCACTGGAAAACACCTATTAGTTTAATGAGACATGATTGCCTTTTATTAACAGATAAACCAGAACCAGTGGATAAATTGTCATATACTGGAATAAGATACTAGGTGCATAATCTCCATCTAGTAAACAAACCCCATAAATGCCAGTCAGTTAGTAGCAAGCAGTACAAAGAAACCATAAATCTGGCAACAGGTCCAACAACAAAATGTGGTGGGAGGGGAAGTCTCTCCATGGTCTCAGAGAAAAGAATCTTATACCCAGTACAAAAATTCTATTTTCTCTATTGTTCACTGAGACACAACCTTTAGTCAACCGGATGATATTTCTTGACATTCAGGAGCCAGTCAAACTCTCAGAATGAAAGATCACATGGAGATTCTCCTCCAGCTCCTGAGCTAAGTCTGCCTGTAGCAGCAAGTCCTTGAACAGTACAGCTATAGAGTTCCCCTTCAGATGGAGTAGTGATAGCACCTTTCTAAAAGACTCTTGGGGTGGAGATGGGCCAAAAAAAAAAAAAGTCAGACCGTCAGTGTTTTTTCTCCACCATAAACTTCAGAAACTGCAGGTGATCATAGCATATCAGGCTGCAGATTGGACCCCTGTCTTCTTTGGGCCAATGTAGAACTGCAAAGATCATTCCCTGTGCCAATAGACCCTTGAAGGCCAAAATAAAATCCATAAGCCTCCGTGTCAGATGCAGGTTTCACTAGAACCACTTCAGAGGAGGGGACTGGAATTCTTTTCTGTAGCCGATTGGGAAACTGCAAATTACATATTTCCTTAGTAATGTTGGCCTCACAAATGTTTAAAAATTCCCCCAAGCCTTGGTAAAAGGGCTATAAGAAGACAAGGTCTGATTACCTTAAACAACAAAGGAATGTGACTATTTGGACAAGCCAAGCCAGACCACTGCTCTCCTTTTGTTTGCATGTGGGGGGGGGGGGGGTTGTCGATTGCTTACACACAGGTCCAGTATATAACACACAGCTAGACTGGAAATATTTGTCTTGACCTAGAGCATGTGTTAAGCATGCATCTATTCTGCTCATCAGCCATGCCATATAATGGAGGGACCCGTGGTGGAAACAGCATCTTTAGTTAAGTGTTCATGTTATATTTTCTTTATCTGTATCTGTCATTACTTGTAATAAATGTTTTACTTATAAGTATTTGTGTGATCTCTCTTTGCACATATCTAATACAACCCCAGAACCCTAACAAAACACATGGTACCAGAAGAATGGGGCTCAATCTGTATGTAACATACGTAAAATGATGCAGAATTGTGCTAGATTGTTTGTGCTGGGTTTAATGTTGTGTTTTTGTTTTGTAAGTCATAGTACATTCAAAAAGCATAGAAAATGTTTCAGATACTTAGGTGGTTTAATTGAGATGCTAGTAGGTGACCAGGTGCGAGCCCATTCCTGTGTTAGGTAGAATCCCAATGTGCTCGCATTCCTTACCAATCGGTAAAGGAATTGTTTTGATTTGATAAATTGAGCGAGAGACTGATGTACAAGGGAATGGTTGTATTGTCAGAAATCTTCAATTTGTGACAATTGTAAAAGCGTTCGATTCTGGACCATAGGCCAGTTTCAGAGAAATTAGCTTTTTTTAGGTTTGAAAACAATGAGCTGATGGTTGTGAGATGCAGATTGTGAGTACTGTAGTAACGCAAGAGATGTATGTATGTCTGAATCTCAACGTGTTTTTGTTTGTAGCTAGTGAATGTTGAGGACATGGTAATTAATGTTGTTTTGTCTGTGGTAAATGTGACAATGTTACCTTAATTAAGATAGAATGGATAATGCCAAGTACTGCGGATGTGTAAAATACTCATACAGTTGTGCTCAAAAGTTTGCATACCCTGGCAGAAATTGTGAAATTTTGGCATGGATATTGAAAATATGACTGATCATGCCAAAAGATGCTCTTTTATTGAAGGATGATGATCATATGAAGCCATTTATTATCAAATAGTTGTTTGGCTCCTTTTTAAATCATAATAAGAACAGAAATCACCCAAATGGCCCTGATCAAAAGTTTACATACCCTGAAATGTTTGGCCTTTCGTACAGAAACACAAGGTGACACACTTGGGTTAAAATGACAATTAGAGGTTAATGTCCCACATCTGTGGCTTTTTAAATTGCAATTAGTGGCAGTGTATAAATAGTCAATGACTTTGTTAGCTCTTATGTGGAAGCACTGACTAGGCTAGATACTGAGCCATGGGGATCAGAAAAGAACTGTCAAAACTCCTGCGCAACAAGGTAATGGAACTTTATAAAGATGGAAAAGGACATAAAAAAAGATGTCCAAAGCCTTGAATAAGCCAATCAGTACTATTAAATAACCTATTAAGAAGTGGAAAGTTTGGGGATCTCTTGATACCAAGCCAAGGTCAGGAAGACCAAGAAAGAGTGTAGCCATAACTGACAGAAGAATTGTCCGGGACTCAAAGAAAAACCCAAAAGCAACCTCAAAGGAAATAAAGGCTGCTCTGGAAAAAGATGGTGTGGTTGTTTTTAAGGAGTACAATGTGATTATACTTGAACAGAAATTAGCTGTTTGGTCGAGGTGACAGAAAGAAGCTTTTACTGCACCAATGCCACAAAAAAGCCCAGTTACAATATGCCTGACAACACCTTGACATGCCAAACAACGGGCAATTTTGTGTCATTGATGCAGTAAACACTTCTTTCTGGCACCTTGACCGTGCAGCTTATTTTTGTTCAAGTGTCACCATATTGTACTCCTTCAAAACAACCACACTGTCTTTTTCCAGAGCAGCCTGTATATCTTTTGAGGTTGCCTGTGGGTTTTTCTTTGAATCCCAGATAATTCTTCTGTCAGTTATGGCTGCAATCTTTCTTTGTCTACCTGACCTTGGCATCAAGAGATCCCCAAACCTTCCACTTCTTAATAGGTTATTTAGTACGGATTGGCTTATTCAAGGCTTTGGACATCTTTTTATGTCCTTTTCCATCTTTATAAAGTTCAATTCCTTGTTACAGAGGACTTTTGACAGTTCTTTTCTGATCCCCATGGCTCAGTATCTAGCCTAGTCAGTGCTTCCATGTAAGAGCTAACAAACTCATTGGCTAGTTATACACTGACACTAATTGCAATTTAAAAAGCCACAGACGTGGGACATAAACCTCTAATTGGCATTTTAACTCGTGTGTGTCACCTTGTGTGCCTGTACCAAGGCCAAGTATTCCAGGGTATGTAAACTTTTGATCATGGCCATTTGGGTGATTTCTGTTATCATTATGATTTTAAAAGGAGCCAAACAACTATTTGATAAGAAATGGCTTTATATGATCATCATCCTTCAATAAAAGAGCATTATTTGGCATGATCAGTCATATTTTCAATATCAATGCCAAAAGTTCATAATTTCTGCCAGGGTATATAAACTTTTGAGCACAACTGTATTTGAGGATTTACGCAAGTTTTACATTAGAATGGTTAAGTATGGAAACTAGGGTTAAAGTTATGAGAATTGTGAGCCTTTGTATGTTTAAATGCAAAAAAAAACAGTTTGAAGCAGAAATGGCTGCAGGTTTGGGATGACTGTGTGTATGCGACACCCTCCTTGCTCCTCGATGGACAAGGGCTGCAGTCTGTGCCTGTGTGTAGCTGACCCCTCCCTTACCTGTCCTGTGTGTCTTTGTAAAAAGGGAGAGAAAGTTCACAGCAGCCCCAGCAACCCCCCTTAACCTCCCTAGCAGTCTGATTATGTCCATATTTCTGTGCTCAAAGCGGTACATTTTTTTGCATGGAAATATGTTTTTTTTTTTATTGTAGGCCTGTAATTTTTAGGAATAACTCACTGAAATCTGTCTGAACAAAAGTCTAGTAAACATCCTGTGTATGTTAAAATTTGAAACACGAAATCATAAATTATAAAACTTAATAAACAATCATAAAAAAAATAATAATAAATTTAATTCAAAAGTATAATCAAACCAAAAACACTGAAATTTGAAATATAGCGCCAAGTTCGCAGATCACTGAGCAAAGTTGCAAAATCCTTTTCAGTGTCTGATGACGAATTTCCCCATGAATCATTATCACTCAATTCTGCAAGTAGTTCTAATTTACTATCGCTGTTCTCTAGCTGGTCTAAAACCGTTTTTGACCTAAAAGAGATGCTTTTTGGACGTCATGGATGTTTCTCATTTTCTAGGCAGAAAGAACAGTAAAAATTTAGGCAGGGCACAGGACAAAGCACTAGGGACAAAATGTATGTGAAATGGTTTGATACAGTAATGTTTTATATATGTTATTTTAGTGTATTTAGTGAATGTCACTTTGTCATTTTCAAATTTCCCACCGTTCCGTCCCCCGTACGTCCCCAACGCCGCAGGGACGGAACCCAGAATACAGATGCCGGCATCGGCCGGAGGACATTACAGGGAACACTGCAGGAGGGACATCGTGGGAGCGCAGGACAAGGTAAGTGAAGAAGGGATCCCGGAGCAGCACTGCAGGGTATTCCCAAGTGTAGCTCGAGGTTACCGCTTGTGGTACTGAAACTTTACCCTGAGCTACACTCGGGAATACTGCCAGGGAGGTTAATAGAAAGTTTGTCTGAAGCAAGGTATTTTTTTGACCAGCTGTGAAATGACTAGTATAACATGTGATGCTAAAATGTGGGTGATAGGCAAGACAAAGTGAAATGTTTAATTATGTTGCAAAAATAAAATCCTGGTGAAATTTGTTACTTTTTAATATGCAACACTAGGATCATTTGAAACAAAGAAAAAACATGGCTGATTGTGGTTGACACCCTTTGGCTGATTGTGGTCGACACCCTTTAAATTTCTGAAAAGCAGACATGATTATAATTATTTAAATGTTTAGAGCTCTATTCCAGCTTACTGGGAATGGAAAAGGAAGAAGGGATGGAATACAATTTAAGCACCACCCACAAATAAAACTGTGTGTCTGTTTCTTTAATGGAAGTCATTTGGACTAGTTGCTCAGCTAGTAAAGGTCTACATGACTTATGACCAAGCTAAGAGTAACAGCTTAAGTTAGGACAATGGTGAATGATCACTAGATATGCACATGGATATCTTTATATTGTTCTTATTGGTGATTGTAATGAAGTGTAATTTTTTTCAAGTTTTCTTGTTAACATAGAAAATAACAGATCTATTCCTAGAAGTTTAGGAGTTTTCAAAATCTGTATGGGATTCAAAACCAGAATGAAATAGAAAAATCAAACTGGACAGTGACGTATAATGTTTGTGCACAAATGTGGTGAATCTGTGAATGTCACCTCAACTATGGTAAATTATTGATAACTGGTTGTACATCTTTCTGTATTGTCCCTTCCTGTGTGTATTTAAGATACACACATGTACTTTGGTATATTCTGCCATAATTATCTAGGACAGTGATGGCGAACCTTTGGCACGCGTGCCAGAGCTGGCACGCAGAGCCATCTCAGTGGGCACGCCAGGAAGAAGAGGAAGATGAGGGCACACAGACCACGCACACTGACCGGCCATCCAGATCTCGTCCACACTGGACCCCCATCAAACTACATCTCCCACATGTCTCTGGGGCCAGGGTGGGTGTGGACGAGAGGAAATGGCTCCTATGCGGATCTGGCGCCAGGGGTGATGTAGCCGGGGGATGGGCGTGGAAGAGAGGAAGAGGCTCCCACACTGCTCCGGGGCCAGGGGCGATGTGTTCAGCGTGGATGGGAATGAGCTGCTGGGTTGGACACTGCCAGAGGTGATATTAACTGCTTGCAGTGCCGCCCAGCAGTGCCGCCCAGCAGTGCCTCCAGTTGGTGCTATCAGTCAGTGCCGCTTATCAGTGCACATCATTTCTGCATATCAGTGCATCATCAGTGCCTCCTCATCAATGCCCACCAGTGCCGCCTCATCAGTGCTACCTATCTGTGCCGCCTCGTCAATGCCCATCAGTGTTGCCTATTAGTGCAGCCTCACCAACGCACAACAAAGAAGAAATATTACCTGTTTGCAAAATTTTATAATAGAAGCAAAGAAAACCTTTTATGTTTTAAATTTTTTGCTCTTTTTTTCATTTATAGTGCAAAAAATAAAACACCCAGTGGTGATTAAATACTACCAAAAAAAAGCTCTATTTGTGTGAAAAAATGAGTGTTGCATGACCACACAATTGTCATTGTCAAGTGCAACAGCATTGAAAGCGGAAAATTGATCTGGGCAGGAAGGGGGTAGAAGTGCCCAGTAGGCAAGTGGTTAATTGCAGTGTTGGCACTTTGAAATAAAAAAGTTGGTTTTGTGTTGCAGTTTTGGGCACTCGGACTCAAAAAGGTTTGCCATCACTGATCTAGGAGAACTGTAAGGCAGAACCACTGGTGAAAAACAGAATCCACAGGATGTGCATAGTACAGGGAGACATAGGGTGATACTACAGTAAAGGTTTAACTTGTTTTTTTACTACATGAATGACAGCTTAAATTTAAGCTAATCATATCATTTTGGTTTATTGCAATGGATGCAAATTTTAAAGTCCTTTAAAATAAGGTGCTCTAAATACTTATATATACACAATTTTATATCTGACACTCAGCGATTCTTTTGGCCACCTCGTTTGATACACCTGATTGAGTGTTCATTACATTTTCTTGGTGAATTATCATTGTGAAATGGGTTCGGTTCCTAGGTTTTATTTTTCCTGAACCCTGGTGACACATACTCTTTTTAACAATTATTAGAATCAAGGAAACATTTTTCTGCCTTTAAGACTACTTACCAAAATTTGAATCTTCCCCAAGA